CGAATCGAACCGAGATATTAACCGAGCTGAACCGAACCGAACCAGCTTTCGTGGTTATGGTACGGTTATGGTATGGTCGAAAATTTGGTGGTGCAGTTATGGTTTTGACCGAACCAACCCCGAACCGAACTGTTGCCATCCCTAACCTTAAAAAATATATTTACTTACTTTCACTAGTTTAATTAATAGTTTAGTATAGAAAAATCACAATTTGTTTGCTATTCGATTAAATTTGCAATTAATTTTAATTCGTTCAAATACATAGTCTTCATGGGTTCGACATTCTATTCATCATTATATTGTTTGATCATGATCTCGTGCACTTGCGAATTTTTAAAGGGTTTCAAGTCATAAAGGTGAACACATCAACTATGCTTGAATTTCAATAAATGTTCATCAAAATTCTCCAAAACACAGTCCAAAATGGCAAGGGAACTTGTTTGCATTACCGTTCCTTCAAACCGATAAGCATCCAGTATAAGTGATAATCCATCTGCAATGTATAAACTAGTTTTATATCGAAAGACGGAATCACATTGTCCAATTCTTCAAGCTTCACAAATTAACAAGAAAACATGACTTCCACAAGTGAACAAGAAATTTGCATTTTCAAATGTGGATCAACTAATTGTTACAAGTCATCATTTCAACAAGCAAACATGACTCCCACATTGAACACGCATTCTAACAACAATGTCGATGTATGCAATTCAAACTCCAAATTTGCACAAAAAACTAGAAATTTGAACTTAGTGCTACATACTGAGGTTTGCAACAATACTTGAAACAAACAGAAGAAACTTACTACTGAAACACTCGAAATTTACATGGACAACTCAAAATTGGCTATGTAAAGTTTGAGATAGCATTGCAAACTCGAATAGTGCACTGTACACTAGAGATTTTATAGATAACTCAAGAAATTGCATTTCAAACACCAAGTTTGTCCGCAAACTCGACATTTTACCTAACAATTGAAACTATTTGCCCAACAACCACTCCACATTTCACCACACATTTTCAACTGTCAACATGTAATGACAGTCATAACTATTCATATATTCTACAATGACCAAACATCATTAGCAAATTTTCCACATATATGGATTTTTCTTAACCTACCCCAAACTTGACTAGAACTCAAAATATCCAGAAATTTAATTAATGACAGGAATAACACTGGCGTTAGGGCCACACCCCGTCTTTTTCATTTTGGGAAAAAACAGCCTGAAAAAAGGAATCTTTTTTCTTAATAATGGAATGCTTCCCCCACGAGTACAAGAAGCTTTAATAGGTTTGTGGTAATATTTAAAAGCATTTAATTCTCCAACTACAAAAATTGACTATTAAAATCTGTAAACAGGATAATTGTTTACCAAATCATGCTTGGTGTACAATATTATTGACAATATGCTTTTAATAGGTTTGTGGTCATATTTAAAAGCATTTAATTCCCTAACTACAAAAATCGACTATTAAAATCCTTACACCAGAGAATTGTTTACCAAATCATGCTTGATGTACAATATTGTTGACAACATGTCACGTGGCATATTATCATTGGACAGTTTAAAAAATAATTTATCTTTTCAACCGACACTTTTTTGCCACCTACGACATTGTCAAGAATTTTGTAAAATAAATATTGTACAAACAGATTTATCCTTTTGTACCTGTCTCAAAAATGCCCTCAAGAACAAAATGATTTAACATTTGAAGGATCATCTTTAGAAAGCAAAAAGTGGAAGATGGTTAGAGAATAATTTAGGTACTTGTAATAGAACAAAAATAAAAAATAAAAAAGCACAAGGATTTACATTGCTTATGTGAGAATAAGAACAAAAGATGTGGGTGAACACGCTCATGTCAGAACTTTCAAACCACAGTCAAAATACTTAGAAGAACAATATTATTTATTTATTTTCAAAAACTTTTGTGATGCATAAGTTGAATTTACAATTCATAAATTGATGTATAAATTCAGTTGTAATTTTAACTGCACATTCATGACTATTATTACTACTAAAGCACAAGATTTTTATATATTTTGGGCAATAAATAGAATCAATTTACTTAGAAAATTAACTGTTTTTAATGTGAAAATTTTTATTTACTTGTGTAACACAACAGAGAGAGAGAGAGAGAGAGAGAGAGAGAGAGAGAGAGAGAGAGAGAGAGAGAGAGAGCGCATGTGTTTTTAGAAAATTAACTGTTTTTAATGTGAAAATTTTTATTTACGTGTGTAACACAAGAGAGAGAGAGAGAGAGAGAGAGAGAGAGAGAGAGAGAGAGAGAGAGAGAGAGAGAGAGCACATGTTTTCACGTGGCTACAGGCATTCGAGGATCAATTAGGCGGGGAAGCAATATGGGACTCGTATTTAATAATTGATAGAGCGGAACCTACGGTTGACCCACTTGTTCTGTGCCTTACAATAATATCCATTATTTTATAAGCGAGACAATGCATAAATATCATCCCCTCTAATTCAAAAGTGGCTGTTAATGAATAGCTGGTCCTGTAGTTATTAAATACTTTTTATAGTGACAAACAGCATCATCTACCATAAAGACTAAAGTAAAGTTATGGGTAGATTGGATTCCCAAACGAGTTTTATTATCCAGAAATAATGCATAATTTTTTGTCACAAGCAAACACTTCTTTACTTGTCATCAGGGAAACCAAAGGGAAAAAAAAAAAAAAGGGTATCTTGTGATTTGTATAACATTGGTACCAGTAATGAATATATACAAGTCTGTCCCCAACTTTTCCAAATAAAATACGTGGATTTCAATCAATTTTTTGGGCCTTTAGGTCCTCACTTTCAATTTACTTTTCTGGAGTTATTTTCATGAATTCACACCCTTTTCCCTATTAAAGCAGCTAAAAGGAAGAAAAAGAAAAAAAAAAAAAAATCATAAATAAGTTATCAAACCTGCAAGGTATGAGCTGGTTGAAGCATGAATCTGAAGTGTGGAAATGAAGTCCAGAAAGAGTTGACCTGGAATGAATCAAGACAAATACAATTATTTATAAATGCTTATAATAATAAAAAATCTCCAGATTATTACATCGTGTCACATCCAAGAAATTATCCAGTAGAAAAATTTACTCAAAGCTGAACTTGATCCATTTCTATTAAAAATAACAACGATTTTGGAATTTCAGCTAATTTAGTTCTACCCTTTACTCCAACTACCATATCATGCTCAGCATCTGATACCTTTTAATTTACAACAAGGCAACACAAGGGCAGCTGTTTCATAAAATTCTCACAGCAAAAAGCACCTAAATAGACCATTGACTTAGAAGACCTGAGGAACTAGAATTTTTTTATGCACAAGTTTTACACAAGATGTTCAAGTCTGCAAAATGGAGAAGCGAGAAGATCAAAGTTGTATTCAAAATGCAGTTTCAAGCAACACAGGTATGTTTTTTACAACATCAAGAAGTAAACTCTTGTTCTTTACGTGGATCCTTTTTCCCCATTTTGTTCCATTAATTGTTATATCTAGCATCTAGGTATGTCTTGTTTACTGCTATTTGAGTTACAGGGAACTAGTTCTACTTGGGCTTAAAATGCAAAGCAACTGTGAAGAGCAATATTCATGATCTCCATACCAAGAGGGGATCCACATATGCATATGCATATGCAATCCAACTAAAATTGTTTCCTTTGATTAAACAAATAAAGGACTGGAAATTGAAAATTTGAAATAACTCACCACTAATCCAAACTTCATGTCTTGCGGTAATTCCAGGTGCCACAGATAAAAGCCAAAACCCTGACGCTTTTGGTGGTTCCAGCAGATGTAGGAAAGCCAACAGTGAGATTGGAGAAAGCTCCAATCTTCGAAGGAAACTGCTACTGGGAACATCCTATTTATGAGACTGTAAAATTAGTAAGGGAGCCGAAGGTGGAAAGATATAAAGAAAAAATCTTCCATTTCATTGTGTCAACTGTAAGTGATAAACCTTCTCATATAGGATCCTTTTGACTTGTTAAATAACTGGAGAAAGAAGATGGTTTAGTTTTACCTGTAGCCGGCACAAATTAAAGATAATTACATTTTTCAATTCTCTCAGAGATCATCAAAATCAGGTGTTCTGGGAGAAAACTCGATTGACCTTGCAGATCTAGTTGAGGCTACTAAACCATTGACATTATCTCTGCCTCTACAGACTTCAAACACGGGTGCAATTTTGCATGTTAGTACTTCTCTCTTTTTCTCTCTTGCACGCAAGCACACAAAAAGAAGCTGGCATATACCTGGATTAACAAGCAAACTTTTCTTTTTTATCAATTATAAGGTTTCAGCATATAGAATTGCACCCTCGGTAAAATGCAGTGTGTCCTAAAACTTCTATAAAAATATCAGGTCACAATTCAGAAGATGCAAGGAGATCTTGATTCAAGGTGACGAAGAAGATTTTCAACGATGATCATGTTCTTTATCCATTATAATGATTTCACCTTTACAAGTTGAGTTAATTCTTCTAGAAAAATTTCAGATGTACTGAAGAAAGTGAAGCACTGGTGGAAGATTTTGATAGCTATGGGAAAAGAAATCTACAATCTCCTGAAGTAAGGTCTCACATACCTCCCATTTTTATTGTTGTTGAAATAACAAAAATAAAAAATGTGAGCATTAGAGATCAGAGAGTAGTTAGAAACCTCAAGAAGGGCAGAGAATAACAATTCTAAAGTAAAGATATTTATATTGACTTCACTAACCAGTACTAATGCGAATTATTTTCCAGATTGAACACTTCAGAGAACTAACATCTCATAACAATTAACAGGATGGAAGCTTTAGAGATACAGAACCAGATAACAATGGTGTATATCAGAGATCCTACACAGATATGTCATTAGATTGTGCTTCAGATCGAAGTATAATTGATAAAACAAACAGCTTTGACGAAACCTGTTCAAGAGGTGAGGTAGAAGAAAATTCCGTTGATATTATTGGAAAGTTGAAAAATCAAATAACAATGTTAGAAAGGCAGGCAGAAGTTTCAGAATTGGAAGTCCAATCCCTTAGGAAGCAGGCTATAAAGGAAAGCAAAAAGGGACAGGAACTATTAAAGCAGATTGATTGCCTTAAGGAGGAGAGGGATGCAATTATAACCCAATGTGAACAACTCAAGTCCTTACAAAATGGTAACAATGATGATGTAGTTTCAAGTGTTACAAAGAAGGAGACTGAAAATTTGAGGACTTCACTTGAAGATTTTAAGCAAGAACTTAAAAGTGAGAAGCAATCTAATAAGAGATTGAAGCAGCAGCTGCAGAAGACAGAAGACTCGAATTCTGAACTGGTTCTAGCATTACGAGACCTTGAAAGAATGTTGGATCAAAAAAATATGGAAATATCTCGACTTTCTAGCAAAATAAAGGTGAATCACAGCGGCGATGAGGCTCTTGCAATATCATCCAAGATAAAGAAAGATTGGGATCGAGAAAAGAAAGCAAAGGATGACCTAATAAGCAAGCAAAGAAATGCTGATGAAGCAGAAATGCTGAAAAAGGAAATTAAAGACCTCTATTGCGAAATAGAAGTCTGCAGGAAAGAGAAAGAAGAAGTTCAGATGCAAATGGAAAAGCTTACTCAGGATTATAAGAGTTTAGAAAAGGAAAACGAGG